TGTAGACATTAGCAACATCCATTGCTTAAGCTTGATTTGACCTTTTGTACCAGACAAACTCTCTGCAACTCTTTGTTTCTGGAGATCTTCTCTATGCTCCCTGATCTCTTTCATTTGGATTCCAGTCAGCATGACTGAGACATCCTAGCGGCTTTATTTTCTTTCACGGAAATCAACACTTTCCTTGGCTGTGTGTTTGGGATCACTGTCAGCCAGAGAAATCCCTCCTTTCATCGTTTTATCAAGAATGTTGCTTTAAATTTTTCCATCCTTTTTTTTTCTTTTGTTGTTATATAATGTCTGCCAGTATGGTGCATTGATGCACCCACCTCTAACCTTTGCTGATGGTTTGGTGTTTTTGGGGTTTGGTGGTCTAAATTCTCCAAACATGCTGTCTGCAACCGCATCTCAAGGAGTCGTCCGTGTCCCAAAGGTTGAGAGTTACCAAATAGTGCCTCTAGACCTAGACCATTTCTACATAGGACATTTTTTTATGGTTTAAAAAAAAAATGCTACTTTCAAGCAAATGCTAAAAGTCATCTTACTCAAACCTCTCTCCGACAAGACTCTTTGTCCCTCATTACATTCTCTATTGCTCTTGGAACTTAAGTAAGAATATTGTTTCCCTCGCTGTCTAATTATGTAGTAAATGCGTTTTGGCAGCGCTTCCTTCCTCACACAACAACTCGCTGCGTCTCTGCTTCTGTCATAAATGAGCTGATGGGACCAAATCAACGCCGAAATCAAATTAAGGCCCATTGTTGGTGCTTGTGACAAGAAGGGAGGGGGGGGCGAACGACTGAATGAGGTTGGGTGGGGGGGTATACACTGAAGAGATAACACAAATTGGTTTGGCATGAAAGAAAATAGGAGTCGTGAGGATGGGGATATTTTCCCTCAAAGTAGCCAACAGAATTTCCACGGACCCATTTGCTACACGCTGATCCTTGCTTGAGTTTTTGCACTTTTCTTTGTTTCATGTTTCAAAACCCAAATTAGAATCAGTTCAGCTGAGGTGTTTTTTTTTTCTTCATAAGGTCACGATCAGCATCACTTTTCACGGAAATTCTGCCTAGCAGATGTCCCTGGATGATTGGGACAGGCAGCCGTCAGAGGACACTCGGTGGTAACTTGGCCCTGCCTGCCCTGCTGTGACATGATAATGATGCTCTCATATCCTGCTGTGATTCTCCTGATCGGCTGACAGTTAAGCACAAAAAAGGTCTGAATTCATTAGTTACAGAGTGGTGCTGCTGCAGACCTGCTTCGCATTTAAATTAAAGATCTCTGTTGGGTTTATTTTTTTGTTTGTTTCTTTTTTCATTTCACTGACAGCAAACATAAAACATTCATAATCTTAAACATCAAACAAATAATGGACCAAGGACAAGTTTGATCTATTTCACACCAAACAGTCACTTTTAGGATTATAGTAAATACTCTGTACTTAAATAATGAATGAGTCAATAACACTGTATCAGTTTCTACCTTGCCCTCATTACTCACTGCACACTCAGATACTCAAATGTGCTATAACCCTGCCGTATCCCTGAGCAATTAGTTGCTCCAAAATATCAGGGGGCTAGTTATTCAGGCACGTATTTCATATTTTATTAGTTTACACAGAGGCTTGTATGCAGACCGGGCTTTAGCAAACACAGGGTTTGCAAATTTCCCAAGCTCCTCTGCAGTCAGCAAGTAATTGGAGGAAGAGTCCCAAAGGGGCCTCGCATGCCGCCGAAGCCTTTGGCTCCTGACGTGTTGAAACGGCAATGGGGTTTGATACTGAGGAGAGAGAGGTGTTTCTGTGCAATAATGTGTGTTTGTGTGTGTGTGTGTGAGAGGGATGTAGGAGCAAGACTTAGGTACATTAGTTGGGATAAATAAAGCTTCAGCTTCTATGAAGTCATTTGGTTTCCCAAGCCCACCACCAGCAGCATATCCAATGATTCCTGCGGTCCATAGGGAGGATAAACCTTACGTTGGAGGATATCGCTCCTGGCTGGTGGGCAGGCAGGTTGGTGGTGGGGGGGACAATGCTAAAGCAAATTCAAAGCCCTGCTGCTGAAAATAAGTTAATTAGCTCTATCTCTCACTCAGAGAGAAAGACATTCTTTTGTAAGGAAGTCTGCCATTCAACACAATCCAAACCTTTTATTCTAAAGCTTTGCCAACTATCAGCTTGTGAAATTATCAGGGACACTGGATTGCAGGACAGAATGCTTTACAAGTGAGTCCATAATGTTACATAACAAGAAAATGTAAAAAAGTTTTGAAATAGAGACCAAACTAAACTAATTTCATCACATTAAATTATTTGTCGAAAGATGCAATAAGATTAGGGTGATTACTATTCACATTTAAATGTATGCACAATGGTGTTACACATATACATTTATTATATACATGTTAACTTAAAGGGTTATAAAAATAACAGATTTTTAATTTTTTACACTGACTCTGTGAACTGCTATAAAGTGGTCATATCCTTCAGTGATGATAAAGCGAAGGTGGGTTGCACTGCTTCCATTTAGCTAAAAGAAGAAGAAAAAAAACGCACAGATGAATAAGCTCCGGGATTCATAATTTAACACAATTAGAGGCTTTTGAAAAGACTATTCTCTGAACTACTTACTGAAATAATATTGGACTGAAGATGTCCCTCTGTGCGCTCCAACTCTGCAAAGAAAATAAGAAACTAACTTTGTATTTAATTACTTGAATATAAAAAGACAGTAAGTAGGATTAATATTACCTTACCTTTCTCTACGACAGGCTCAAACTGAGCAGCACTTGGTGACGTATTCTTTTCTATCTTTAGATGCTTGACTGTGACAGAACAAATTAAAGAAAAATGATTAAATAAAGATGGAGAATGATGTGAGTTAAATTGATATATTATGCATTTGTATTTTGTCAACTCAACTGAGCTAGTAAACAATGCATACAAGATATATATATATATATATATATATATATATATATATATATATATATTTTTTTTTTTTTTTTTTTTTTTTTTTCATTAATTCTATACACTGCAGACATACAATAATAAATACACAATATTGTGTTGGGGGAAAAAAACTCATTAATGGGTATAAAAAGTCCAGTATCTTTAATGAGGGCACCTAAAAGCTGCACTCATTACAGATATTCCAACCTGGCCGTGGTATGGAAGAACTAAAGAGTCAATGAAAAGGAAAAACAGTACTGTTAAATTTGATGTTTAAACCATAAAATTAGAAATCAAATTTCAAAACTTTTTATAATCATACATTTTGACTTGAATTATTAATAATGAAATGTAAATCGGATTTATTAATCTATGAAATTGTGTAATTTGTACTTAATAATATATTTTCAAATCCTATTTCTAATTGGAGATTTTAAAAACACTATTTGTCAATCTGATCATAAATACCTTTTCTAATTTCACATAAAAAAAAAATGAATTCCTTATTCCATTTTCCTTCTCACCTAAGATTTTAAAATCCTTTAGAACTCGCATTTTCTTTTTATTTTACCCTCTCTGTTTACCTTTTCTGTGACCCTTATGGTCCCTGAGCACAATGTTCAACCAGTACCAGTAACCAGCTCCCACAAAATTAAACATGTTTTAAGCTCCCAACTATATAATCCCTAAATGTGTCGGCTATTTTCCTTGATCACTAAGTGTACAAACGGCAATTCCTGTTTTTTTTTCACTAATATTCTCCAAAAAACCTCTGAGGCCTCCACAAAAAAACCCAATTTATAATGAGATTACATTGCAAAGAGCAATTATGCGGCCTCTGAAGGTAACTACTTGCAAATAATTATAGTAAAGGGGCTGATAACAAACCATATTTGTACAGAAACCATATATCGTTGGTAGCTACTTCGCAGTTATGCATCACTTTGTACAGGTCTATCATTAAAAAAAAAAAAATCCCCGAAATATAAAATAATGTTTGGAGAGTCACCATCTTGGCAGGTGCCTCTGTCACAATTTGTGTGCCTCACTGCAAAAAAACTGTGGAGCAAGTCCAAGGGGTTAGAATACTTTTAAAATTCACTTTAAATACATGCTTTCAGTTGAAAACAGGCCACACTAAATGTTAAAAGAGGGTAAAACATGTTTTTGGATAAGGTGATAAGCCTATATATAACCATACCCAATGGGCCCCCTACTCAATTAGATTTGGACTGCTCTTTGCAGATGTAGTGGTGTTTGTTCCTCCAAAACAAAATCCTTAAATTGATGCCTGAACCTCATCTATACCCCAACAGATACCAGATTTCAACATGAAGGTGACCTTTTTAAACAGGACACCAGTAGGAAAGCAGACAGTGGTATTTTCAATTACTATGTTAACTGTATATAGTTCATTAGACGGTTGGTAACAAATACACTCATGTAACATGTCACAAACCGCAATAACGATCTTAAAAGAACGATGTATTTGAGTATTTTATTTTTTTACACTACGCCTTGGAATTATGGGTAATCCAGAGCAGACGTACTTCATATGGGGCCCACCCAGATAATGTTGCTCAGGGGCCTATTGTTGTGTCGTTTCGCCATTGACCATACCGTTGTAGCTATCCACTGTCACTGCAGAGATGTTTGTTGTTTCAGCAAAACGAAAGATGAACTCCTGAGGGAACATCCCGGTGGTCATCCAGAAGGTTTTAATGTTTCTGGACGAAAAGACGAAACGCAGCCACAGTAAAGAACACACCGACTTAAGAAATATATATTAGCTGCTTAAATGTGCACATTAAAAGCACTGATAAGACATATTTATAGCTCTCACCCGTCAGTGATGTTTCCTGGAGGGTGATTCTCGTCGCTGGATGAAGCTAAAACAATTTGTGCACCTGGAGAATCAATCATGGCGATGATCTAAACAATCACAGTTCCACTAGTGTTTTCCTTTTTGATTTAAGACACAGCTCAAGCTTTCACCGTTGCCACGCCAACCACCCCGTCGCGCTTTATACACGCAATCTGCGTCATTCTGGACGTAACAGTTTCCGACGCACGTTGCTAAATTAGCATGAGCTAACATCTTCAAACCAGCGTCTGGACATGGCGAATGGGTGCAATGATGTGTTATTTAGCCGAGGAACTGGGCAGGTCAGCTTAAACATTTTAAAACTTAACATTATAGCACGAATTAATTATTTCCACGAGGCTGTAAATTTGGAACTTTAGACGACGAGATATAAAACTAACGTTTAGTTTAGCTTAACAAAGAGGAAAGAAAAACTGAGTGCACTGAATTGTAAACCAGAAAAACTCAATTCTGATAAGTCTGAAGTTAATTTTAATGTATTTCTGCATATAATTACGCTTATAAAGTTTAGTTAGGCAGTAGAGATTACTAATGCACTATTTTCAGGTGTGAGAATTGACACCAGAAGATGAAATAACGTAATAATCTAGAAATCCCGAAGAGGATAAAATGTCTTTAGCTTCATTTATGCTTGAGTTTGAATTGTATTGTTCTTTTTCAGAGTGATGATTCAGACATCTGGGATGACACTGCACTTATAAAAGCTTATGATAAAGCAGTGGCATCTTTTAAGGTAAAATAACTGCATATTTGGTTGAACTTCAATGCTAACATAATATAATAATAAAAAATTAAAAAAAAACAAAATATGTAAACAGACCGTTGTTACATTGCTTGTGTCTTCTCCTCTTACTGTGGTCCAGACTGCTCTTAAAGGTGATGATGAGCCACAGGTTTCTAAGAAAAACCAACCAGGAAAGAAACGCAAGAACAACAAAAAGAACCAGGGCAGAAAACGTACTAATGCACCGCCTGATAAAGAGGTAAAGACTGGGTAGATGGCTAAATGAAGTGGTTCCATATATATGTGTGTGTTAGTGCACTCCCAGAAGGGAGTACTTTGGAATAACATGGGCAAATGGCAACCAAAAGGAAGCCACAAGGAAAGCAACAACACCCAAATACCTGCAGCAAGTAAAGCTAGTCCTGAGAGGTCAACTTAGTGTCAAAAACAAGGTCCAGGCAATCAACAGCTCTGCAAGTAATCAGAAACCTTGATAGGGTTATAAGTTGACCTAAGGAGGATATTCAGCCCACTGATGTTGAACATGAAAGCTAATGATATTAATATTATGTGTTTATTTCATACATGGGTTCATGGGGTGTGGGGAAGAAAACACAATTGCCAAATATCCCCATATATTTATTGACATCTAATTATTTTTGAACATATATTGTATTTATTTTAGAGTGGTATATCTTAGGTTGTTACAAAGTATTTTAGTATTTTTATCTTTAAAAAACCCACCAAAGCACAAAATACTGTTTTAAAAAAACTTGAAAGTCACACTAGCAGTGACATTGCTTTTATAAATGAATAAAATGTATTTCATACAGTATTCCCAGTGTAGAAGGTGTGTTGGTGTACAGAAGTTTTACAGAGCTATACAGTTGTAAAAACCGCAACATATTGCCTCTGTTACTATATCATGGTTAAATCGTAATATGACAGATTTGATGGTTTAACTGAGCGACTCGAAATTTAAATAACATTTGTTGATAGAAAGTTAGTCACTAAAAAAAATAGGTACATTTTTCTGTATATAGGGGATATAACCCAGGCGTGTAAGGGCAGCAGAAAGGAAAATGTACGTGCTACATGTAGGTTACACGGCTCGCAGTTTTCCATTTTAAAAAGTTATAGGATTTACAATGAAGGGGTAATACGTGCATTGATATGTGGCATTGTTCCTAATTTAGGATGATATTCTAATTTCAGACGCGTATACACTCCAGTTTGAGCTAGGAAGAAAAGGAAACACAACATCCGGTTACTAAGTTCACTTCAGGCCATTGTGCATCTTTTACTTGGTGCTTTTTCTGCAAGATAATACCCAATGCCTACAGTTATTAACACCCAACCACCAGATGTTGGTAGTTGTGTCATGCTAACAAATTATGTATTTGATTTCTCATGAGATTGGTCAAGATGCAAATTTTTAGGTAATCATATATTACTTTTAAGTTTATATCTTTCACACATAGCACTATTTAATTTACGTACCCATGTCACCATAGCTCATCTTTGCTCCAAGCCCCGTTGCTGAACCTGTTGATGTGGAGCGTTTTCTTCAGCAGCTTTAATAAATTTCAGTTTTCAAACATACGCGGGTATGCTGCTCTGCTGCGCTTATGAATGCGTCCGGTGTATTTATATGTTTGTAGGCTTTAGTCTATTGTACACAAGGCATAAAAATAAGTTGATAGAACCTACTGAAACATAAAAACCTATGTTACAGTAATTCCGTTCCTAGTAAAGACATGATTTTAAAATTGATATAAGGCAAAAAGTTACTACAGTTCTACACTGCAAATGTAAAATACACTGTCGGAAAATTAAGTTTAGCCTTTTGTCAAAGTTGTGATAAGTTTTTATTTACAACTACTGCCATGCTTTGTTTTTAATTGCTCTGTTTGCAGTGGCAGGTTGGGGACTCTTGCAGTGCTTATTGGTCAGAGGACGGCCAGCTCTATGCAGCCACCATCTCATCCATAAACCACCAGAGAGGAACCTGTATAGTTGTTTTTACTGGTTATGGCAATGAGGAGGAGCAGAATCTGGACGACCTGCTGTCAGAGATTTCAGAAGCTGACGAGGCGGCAAATCCTCAGGTAAACTGCTGTAAATGTTGTATGTGTAGATTTATTATTCTGAATCAGTTCATTTAATTGATAATTATGTTTTATAACATCTTTGATTTTCTTTTTATCTATACTCCCTCATAGTGTATGAAAAAACATTTAATTTTGTGAAATTTGTTGGTAATAATAATTGTAATACATAAAGGTTCCTTTTATGGCACCCAAGGTCAGAAAACTTAAAGAAAAAAACTGAGATTATAGATGCATTTAGTTCAATCAAAGTCAAAAGGCTCGTCTGCGCCGACTTGTTTATAAACAGGTTTTGAAAAGAGAGAGACTTGTAGTGTTTCTGGTGTCAGGAGGGAGGGCCTCCCAGAGACGAGGAGCAGATCGGCTCAAGGCCCCGAGTCCCATAGTTGTCGGACGTTGAAATTTAATGATGTGATAAATTGATTTTTCTCCCTTTTTTTCCCGCCTCCTATTTTGACAGTACATTTATCATTTGGACCAGTGCTATTGTTGAGTTTATTTTGACCCAATAACACCAACAATATTTCCTGAGATGATTTTCATTGACTCATATCTTCCAGCTTTTAAAAATGTGCACAGCTATTTTTACAAATACATCATCAGTCTTTTTTTATTTGACATCATGAGATTAATAGAATAACTGGCAGCTTACTGTTGGCCAAACATGAAAAAAATGGCTACACTGTGGTTTATTATAACAAAGGATTAAGGGTATGAAGCACAGCTTTCAATTCATGCCCTGCAGGAAACTGTTTTAGTTTTGATATGTACCTTGATGAACTTTTATTCAGCTCCTTTTTATTTTATTTATTTAGAAAAAGAGTCATAACATCCATTGTTTAATTATAGGAAAAAGTGGAAGAATCCTCCACAGAAGAGAGTGATAGGTCCACCACACCTAACCAACACAAACAGCATCCACCCGGTAGAGCCCAGAGGTCCAAACCTCACAAACACCCACCCTCCATGTGGCCTCCAGGTTTCCCTGGGTTTCCCCCAGGACCTCCTCCTATGCACGGTTTTGGACAAGTAAGGACTAACACTCATTAAAGAACCGTTGTCTTTATTTTACTGTCAACAAAATCTATCTTATTCTAGATTGTTTCATTTTATCGGTTTATTTACTTTTAAATCAGAGAGAAAGCTTGCTCTTTGCTGAGTAAGTAAAACAAAAGCTAAACTCTAAATCATTTACAATAGGGGAAATGAAAAGGGATCATAAATAAAGCACACTGTTGACATTTATTGTATTGCATTGGATTGCAGTAAATTTACTTAGCCCTTGATTGGATGTTTAGTATCACAAACTTTTTTCAGCTGCATGTGGTATATTAAGATTACAAGGACTGAACTACCTGTCTGCCCTTATTTTAGTTTAGATTATGTTTATTTAAATACATGTTGAAGCATTTTTAAATGGCTGTACTCCTTTTAAATATCACAACTGCATGTCTATGTATTTTTTTTCTAGAGGGAAAACAGACATGGACCTGCTGGTCATGGACCTGTACCTCCCTCCTGGCCTCCTATGATGCCTTTTGGTCCCCCTGTAAGGTTTAAGCTTAATAACAATGCACTAGATAAACAATGTATAAAGCAGCACCAAGTAGCATTTTTGTCTTAATTAATCCTCTTCTAAGTCCCTGCAATGGTTTCTGCTTTTGAGACGATTGAGAGGTCTGTTTTCTCCCCCTACTGTCTCTAGCTGGAAAAACCATACTTAAAACTTTTTGTCACCAATGTGTTGGGAGTCTCGCGGCTCTGTTCTCAGTCTTGTGGTAAGACGAACAGCTTTATGCCAGCCCATTATATGGCCATTGGCATCAATAGCCACATGCCCGTGGCTGCACTACTCGCAGACAATCAGAAAACAATTTTGGGTCTTGGACATTTATGAAGCAATGGACCCAATAAAAAAGACAAAGAAAACCTTTGTCTGATGAGGGTAGAAGGACAAAACTTGAATCTGCAGGGACTTGTGCAATATTGAATTTGGGGAACATGTTTATTATGTGACAAGGCCTCAAAAAACAATAACAAAATGCAAAAATTACACCAATCTGGTAGTTTTCTAATGAACTTGTGTTACCGTATGTGCTAACTAAGTGATTGATTTTTAGCACGCCCCTATAAAACATGGAGATGGTGATTCATCTTATGAGAGCAATTTGAAAAGTTGTTTACTTGAGGCTTAATGCTTCACTGACGTACAAAAATAGCAACTTGCAGTGAAAAGGTTTGATGTTTGGTGCAGGGAGGGTAGTCAGTTTTTACATCAGTGCTATTTTCAGTAGGTACTGTAGGGGGAGCTCCACTTGAAAATAACTTGGTGCTGCTTCAAGAATTAATCTTAGACTAGACTTAGACTTAGGCGGCTTTTATTGTTATTTTGTATACACTAAGTGTATGTAAAATGAAATTGTTTTGTACAGCTTTCGGAAACATTTCCATTCTATAAAGTACAGCAGGGATCCGATGTAAACAGTTTGGGAGAGAAAACATGGTGCAAAAACGCATTGATATGGAAGTTCAGAGCAATAAATGTATATGCTGCAAATATACAGAAGAATAGGGGTTAAATTAAATATGTGAACAATATTTTTGGTACCCCTTTTTTAACGAAAGAAAAAACTCACAGTAGTCACAGAAATGACTTGAGTCTAATGAAAGTCAGACTTTACTTTTCAACCATCTTCACCAGAAGTGTTTAAAAAATAAACTCATGGAAAAATAAACTATCCCTAAGAATAAAACAATGGTACCCCTAGAAAAAAAATAAAATGTGTCCAAAGGGACTTGTTAAATCAAGTTGTGTCCACTAATTAGCATCACAGGTGTCTACAGTCTTGTAATTAGTCACTCTACATGTATTTACTGTGCTGTTTGGTGACATGGTGTGTACCACACTCAACATCGATTAGAGGAAGCAAAAGATTAGAATGGAAAAAATATAGACAAGCATGTTAAACGTACAGACAATACGACTAATTCAAGCAGCTTGATGATTTGTGAATACAGTTAAACATATTATTTATTTCTGGACCTGAAATATGAATGGCAAAGAGGAGCCCAGAAAAACATCTTAAGAGATTAAAGTTGAACTTTAAGCTCAAGGAACATCAGATCGCACCATCCATCATTTTCTGAGCCAAACTGGATTTAATCTGAGACAAACAAAGAGGACACCATTTTTGAAGAAGAATCATAAAAAGTCCAGACTGAAATTTGCAAAAATTGAAGTTTTTACCAAGGTGCATCAGCTCGTTTTTGACAGATGGAAAATTCAACCATATTAAGAAAAGAACACTGTCCACACTATGAAACATGGAGGAGGCTCTGTTATGCTCTGGGGATGTTTAGCTTCATCTGGCACAGGGTTTCCTATATCTCTGTAGGTGGCAAAGAAATTAAAATACAAGTAAGGCAATCTAGAGAGAAATGTGCTTCCCAGTGTTGGAGAGATTGGTCTCAGCCACAGGTCATGGGTCTTGTAAAGGATAATGACCTTAAAAAGTTGGATATAAACACCCAAGAATGTCAAAGAGGAAACATTGGATTATCCTGAAGTGGCCTTCTATGAGCCCTGACCTAAATTCTGCTGAGCATCTTTGAAACGAGCTCAGTCATGCAGTCTGGAAAAGGCAACCTTCAAACCTGAGACAACTGGAGCAGTTTGCTGATGAGGAGTGCGCCAAAACACCTGCTGAGAGGAGCAGATGTCTCACTGAAAGTTACAGGAATCGTTTGATTGTAGTGATTGCATCTAATGGTTGTGCAACAAAATATTAAGTTAAGGGTACAGTCAGTTTTGTCCAGGCCTGTTTTATGAGTTTAGTGTCTGACTTTTATTGAATCATTTTTATTAAATCTTAAGTGATTATTTATTTTGCCAAATTCAAGTTATTTATGTGACCATTGTGTGTTTTTCTTTCCGAATCAAGGGATACAATTTTTTCCTCATATGTAGATCAGGATTATTATTATGGGAGAAGTAACTAAAGAGCCAAGATGCAAATGAAGGAAAGATGCAGACAGTGAAACAATCTCCCAAATTAAATTGTGCCTAAGCATCATATCCTGGAAACTCCTATAAATATAAACAATTAGCGATCTTATATATTCTGCTGCAGTGTCTGCTGTCTGAATCCTTTTTGTTCTTCAGATGATTCCTCCACCTCCACCAATGAGTCCTGACATGGTGGATGACGAAGCCTTGGGTAGTGTGCTCATATCCTGGTACATGAGCGGATATCACACTGGATACTACCTGGTATGTGTTTAAGAGTGAACTCGTCAGTCACTAGAATTCAGTTTTTCTAAATATTTAATAACATAGTTATGTTGCCTCATTTGTGTATGTGAAAGGTCTAGTTTTGGGGTCGGTAAACCGCGGCTCTTTAGCGTCTACCATGCGGCTCCCTGGAGCTTTTTCAAAAATTTATGAAAATCGATTTTCTTTTTTTTTCTTTTTTTCTTTTTTTTTTTTGATATGGTGTGCAGGAGGTCAAACAAAAATTTATTATGTTTTCCAATGCTGTAAAAATTTGTATAATCAGTAAGTGTAAACAATAATTTGCATCATAGCCATAGAGATCTGTGGTCATAACTTGCAACCAGCGTGGTGCGGTGCCAGGCAAACGAAGATGCAGGTCCATGGATCCCAAAGGGAAAAAAGGAAGATGGCTAATGAGAAAAGAGGATTCAAAGAATGGACCGAATCATTTGCTTTCATTATCAATGCTGAAGGATTGCCTGCATTTTTCCTTTGTAATGAGAGATTGTCAATAAAATAAAATAAAGAAAAAGAAAAATTTGGAAAGGTATTTCCAGGGAAGGCTAAATATGCAGCCGACCACCAAGTTGAGAGGCAGAGAAAAAGTGCGATTGCAGAGCTTCTGGATAAATTAGAGGAGCGCAAAGATAGATGGATGGATAGTGGATTGCATCTCCAAACTCCACTACTGCTGCTAGTATTGTTGCAAGGATGGAAAACTGTCCTCAGATCAAACTGTTAAAATAATTTTAACAGTTAAAAGAATTGTTTAGCAAATTAGCAATTAAGAATTGATGATTGATAAGCTCACTGGTAGCTTGTAGGTACTTCACTGGAAACCATCTCTTTTTATAGGTCTTGACTTTATAGAGTCAGACAAGTGTACAAGTTGATACCATCCCTTATATTCAGCCACTTATGGGTCAGAATCACAGGGGGCTGAGTCCTGCTTAGCTCTATGGGTGATAAAGCCATCTACAGTTGAAGTCTGTTAGTCTATTCTGTCATGGTGCACACCAGCATAATGTGTCCAATGTGTGTTTAAGGTTCCAGTTAATGTGTATCTCATTGTTCTCCTCTTGCATACAAGTAATACTGATGGAACACCTTTAAGTTCAACACTGTTAATGTTATGGTTTTTTTCTGTGTGCTGGATTTTTTAATATTTGTAAATTTAAGAGTGTGGTCCTCCTATCTGTCAGTTTATAGGCAGTTTGCTGCAACATCTGGATAACGATGAGCACTTCTTTCCTAATTACGGGTGCTTAAAATTCATGTCACTCTGGCTCTTTGTCGTGCCTGTAAAGATATAAAATTAATAGGAGTAGGTAAGAAGGACAACTTTAGCTACTTTTCAAACCTTAACATTTCAAACCTTTGGAATACCTTGATACTTGCGGTGGGTAATTACCTAGTGAAATGTTAAAGGTTAAGGAAATAAAGAGTTTGACCTTTTGGAAGCGTTTTGAAATGACAGAAGTCTGCTTTAGACTTCCTTCCACTTCCCACAAGATTATCTTTGCAGTCCAAACCTTATCAACTAAGGTTATTTCATAACATTGTTCTTTATAGATAAAAACTAATATACAAGCCAAGAGTTTGGAGCTGATCAGTTCCAAATAATTTATAAAATCCAGACGGCAATTCAAGTTTCTGTCCCCCATGTCGTCTCCTAAAATCAATCAGTTCAATGGATTTAGACCTGATTTGCATGTTTTTGGCATCTCTGGTTCAGGTATGCATTCATGTTATTAGTTGATTTGACGTCACCAAAAGATGAGAACAGCATACTTTTGGGGTCCTAAGGTCCAAGCAAGGGTTTAAACTAATTGAATTTGAATATTTTTAGAGCAGGGACATGTTACTTTGACAGTTTCAAATTCCTATTTGAGTAAAAATATATTAATTTAAATTGTAATCATTGGGTTTATTTAATCAAAATGTACATTTACTTATTTCAAAACATTGAGGTTATTTGACTGCTCATAACTTCGCCAAGGAACTAAAAAATATCCCTTCAGTCATTAGATGTGTCTTAAAACCTTGAACACATTTGTTTTTCTTTCATTTAAACAGGGCTTGAAACAAGGACGGAAAGAAGCAAACAAGTGGACAAAACTGCACCACAAATGAACAAATGTTCTGTGACTGGATATGGGCCTCCATTGACCATGAAACATCAATTTTGATTTATATCGTTTCCTCATGAAGTCTGAGGATGAAGTTTTGTATTCTTTGTAAATATATCAAATAAAGGCTGTCAGAATAAACCAGTTTTGTTCTTTGTTTCTAAAAGATTTGATGGTTTACAGTATTGACAACATTTTTAAACTCCTTTGAAAATGACCTGTTATTTTAGGACTTATTATATATATTTAATCCTAAAAAAAAAGTTAAGCTTATATGAGATTAAGAAATATTCTGCAGGTGAACAACATTCAATTTAAATATCTGGAAATTGTAAATATCATACATTTTTCTTTTAGGTGTTTAAGTCTAACAAATCCTGTACCTTTTTTATTAGATTTTTTTACACAGAGCTGCACAATATTTTTATCAAAAGACTAGTCTGGGGGAATCTTTTCATCTCAAAGGACCGCTTGGAGGGCAATAATTATTGGCTAATAAATTACAAGTAATTTGAACTTGCATTTTCGATGTAACGTTTTAATCTGACACTCTCACAGCCGCACATTCTGCTGTGATACAAATAACATTGCCTGAAATGCCAACAGTCACAGTGATACACACACAGACGAGACCTAGACAGACAGTGGAAAAACAGCACTTCATGTTATTGCAATATTTATGTCACCAAGAATATCCAAGACCAATTTAAACTCTAATTTTAACAGAAATTACAGCTTACTGTAAAGCTGTTCATGCCCGCGACTGTATTTGTCATCAGGATTATTCTATCAATGTAGTACAAATAAATAATTGAAATTGGCTTGTAGTTATTGTTGGGTTGGGTTCTGACATCTTTGGTTTAAGCCTCACAAGTAGGCAGCAAACAAGGGAAGAACTCAATCTAGACACAAGTCACAGCTCAAACTTGACAATCCTTAAAAGGCTGCCTCTATTGTTTTTGTAGCACAGTTCTTCCTTCCACTCAATTTTCTCGCAATATGGTGGAGAATGGCCCTTTCCCAAAAGCTATGACCTGTTTGTGGTTTATACTTGTCGAGCGAATCGACTAGTAGTTGTAGACTATTCAAGCGCAAGACAAAGAAGTTTTCTTCCTTAAAAACACCTTTTTTTGTAATCAGCCTTATGTATTGTTAAAATTCCCCCCCAAAAAATTTTTTTGCTTTTTTTTGTTTTGTTTTTAATTGCTGGAGGCCATTTATATCTAAGTCAATAGAAAATAAGTCTTTGAAAAATATTGCTTTCCTTTAAGGTAAAAGTAAATCATTAACACATTTCTGCTTATATCTTACTTTACCTATTCTAACACGGAGAGTATTTATAGATCAGTGCTTCTATATCCCTCTTGTATATCTTCTCTTGTTGAAACCCAGATGGCCTCTGCTGAGGTCTGATAACACTTAGCCTGGTTGTGCTGGAAGTTTCTTCCTGCTAAAAGGAGTTTTTCCTCTCTACTGTCGCTGCATGCATGCTTTGTGAGGATTACTTTAGAGTCATCGACAAAATGCAAATAAATATATTCTGTCACCGCATGTTCGTTTAGGACCGTATCCTCAAAAGTCAATCAGCTGTTTTTCTTAGATATAAAACTACCTTTATTACTGTGTGATCTGATGAAATTGTCTCTGCAAAGTGCTTTGTGTAACGTGTTGTGAATTGGTGCTATATACATTTTTTTTCAAGTTTTTCTAAATTTTTTCATTCTAACCTGACTGACCACTTGTAGATCTTTAGGGAGACCTTTCCTGGGAATAATTTCTAGTTATTAGTCTGCGTTAACCAAAACATCGCTTTAGTATTTAGAATGAGTATCCTTGCAAATTTAACAACTCAATGCAATCGACAGTCCACTACTGCTACCCGCTCATCTATCAAAAGTGATCGGTGCCAGGCTTTGGCTCGATACCATCTGCTAAGAATAGGATACTTTTTTAAAAATCTTAACAATAGCTTAAAATTGACGACATTCTTTGATTGCTAGGCTCAAACTAGAATTTATTTGGTTAAAGTTTAATCCGGATGAGCCTTATTAACCCAATATTTGCACAGAAAGAAGGAAACTGCTGCTGAAATCCAAAGGGTCAAAAGAAAATCATGACAGTAGTGTGTGAATCCAGAGCCACTTCTTTCACTGTCTGTATTTTTTTTTTCAATTTGCTTTAAAAAAAAGACTGTATGAGTTCTGGTTGCAATGGCAAGTATTGTCCAGCAGAAGTCAGACTAGTGTAATGAACGTCCGTTGATGAATATGCTTTGTGAATAAATAATGCTTGTGCAAACTTGTATCCGTGCACTAAAGAAAAGACTTGCCTGTGAGCGTGTCTATATGCACTCATCTCTCTTTGGCGTGCCGCTCTGATTTGTGATTGCAAGCCAGACTCGACTACAGCTTTATTTCCTCTGATGTTTCCCGCAGAGTCAAATTCAGGGAATCGTTCCAGTTTACGCCTTGCATCAGAGCATCTCCTTTATTCCCTGAGGTGTCCCCTCATCTTCCAGCCTCATATAGCAACACATCCATCATGATGTTTTTCAGCTCACATTGGATAGGTCTGTAACTCATGGTGTTGGTAAGCACTGCTTCATATTCCATAACAAGCCAGCTTTATGTTTGAAATATAATTCTGCAATCTCTAGAATATTGGGATTTTAAAGAAAGAAATCTCAGTCTTTATTGTTGACACCTGATGGCTTTATCCTGTTTGTAGAAAAAGAAAAAATCTAGAGGAATTTCTCTCTCTTTTTACTTGTGGTGTTGAGGTTAAGTAATGAAATTCCAAGCTCTGATATGTAGGGTAACCACTTATTTTCTTCTTCTTTCAAATCTGGATTGTTTGAGCTTTAGCAATGTAAGAACAGAGGGGGAAATGGCACGGGTGCAGATATCCAGTCTGTGATTATATTTAGAATCCAGTAAACCACATGTAATTACAGCTGGAATAGAAACACTCGCCTGAAATGCTGTCGTTCCCTTAAAGAAAGGCCTTCCAGATTTCCTGCACACGTAATTTGCTGCCCACTTACACCCGCCGCCCTGGTTCAGAGCTGGCGAGCAGTCGATCATGTCTTGTACGAGTTTGTGTGTGCACAAGAAAGAGACATAATGGGTCTTTGTGTTTGGATGTAACAGCATGATTGTCTTTATTTTTTACCCATGTGATCTTCCTCCAGCTGCTCCAAAGCCATTGCTTTCTGGTTGAAAAGCGGCCCCTTTGTTTGTGTACAGACTGCCGTCTGCGCTTTATAGCCCACTGTGATTGCCCATATTTATGACTGTATTTGCCTTTTGCTGAAGCCCACTCTTGTTTTTGCTGTTATGTGCAGAAACTAGAGAAGAAAGGATGCCAACAAGAAAAAATTGTAGTTTGTGGTATTTACAACTTGAATATGCACCGTACACGGAGAGTGATAAGCCAGAGTTATCTTTTCCCCACAGACGGGGTTCAAATCTTCCACAGCAAAAGCCTACACATAAACCGATTGCCTGCCTGACTCTGCAGCAAACTAAGCTGCCCAAAGGGCCCAGGAGAAACCCAGAAAGGAGTTAAAAGAGGGTCCGACCTTGCTAGGGAAGGCATCACTCCCTTTCTGTGCCTGTCTAACCCCTACTGACCAATGAGGCATGAAGCGTGTAAACATAATCTGCATTTTGCATAGTCGCTTCTAGGAAACATACAGGCATCCAAATAAGATCACATTGCTGCATGTGCTTCAAGGCCTTTAGCTATTTACTCAAGCATCAGACAAACAGAAATTCTGCAATTACATTAGATATTTTGGAGGTTATTGGGCCAGACAAGTCATTTGTTTTATTGTTTTGATTAAAGACAAATTAGTTCAGTGGTTTACAGAAAAGAAAGGAAATGTAAAATTAATGTTTGGTTTGGTTGATGTTAACTAGTCTTTTTTTGTGTGTATTTGGTTGATTCATTTATTGTCTGAAATTGTCTGAAATAAATTCCTATTCATTCAAAAAAGGGGGATGGAAATAGCTCAAACAGTAATAAATGAGATGATAATGTACTTTTTTTCCAGCAGCACTATTAAGTAATGTTTACATTCTTGCTCTGAAAGAGGCAGCAGTTTCTGTACATCTCAGGCTTTTAGGCAGTTTGTACCAGAGCTTGAGTGCATTAAAATGGACAAGTATTTGCTCCCATTAAGGTTTTGTTTTTTTTTTGCCATAAGTTTCAAAATTATATATATATATACTGTATATAAGGACTTAAGTTGAATATTAGAACTAAGATAAATGATCATTACTAACGACAGACAGTTACTGGCAGGTTTCACAAACATTGACCAGCAAGTTTATCCCACAGTTAATGACTATAATGTCAAGTTTGATTGAAAGTCTTTTTTGTTGAGAAAAGTAAAGGAAAATGTACATTTAAAATAAGTCTGTACTTTATTCAATGTTTGAATTATTATGTTGATTTAAACCATAGAAATTTGGCTAAAAACAAAAGAAAATCTGTAAAAGTGCTTTTGATAGCACTTAAAATGCTTTCATTTTTCTGGAAGACCTTAGAAATTAAGTCTTTTATGTATGTATTCTTTTCCAAGACCAAGTTTAAAGTTTCTCATTTTATGAAGAAGACTGTACTACGAAGATTTAAGGACTTGTACAGTATGATCATTTTTCTTGATCTTGGTCAAAACTGGCATTTTTATTTCTATGGGGACCAAAAATTGAGGTAACTGAAAATTAAAACATAAATTCTGGCCATACCTGCTCATCTGGTGGATGTGTTTTTCCATGACTATAAGAGACCATGGTCCTAATTTGGCAGATAAATGAATCGGCCAACATATGTTAAGAATTGTTATTTTACTCTGCATTTTCAGATTAGATGAACATCCATCCATCCATTTTCTCCTGCTTAATCCTTGTCAAGGTCATAGTGGGGCCTGTGCCTATCTCCGGCAGTCTACGGGCGAGAGGCGGGGTACACCCTGAACATGTCGCCACACTTTCGCGAGGCAACACACCATGCACACACTCACAGCTAAAGACAATTTAGAGAATCCAATTAACCTAACAATCATGAGAGAGAGCCCACGCATTCACTGGGAGAACATGCAAACTCCATGCTGAAAGACCCTGGGTCAGGAATCGA